AAGCCTCAAACCACAACACACTGTCAGACATCCCTGACTGGGCCACCTACTTGCTGGCTAGACCAGCATGAAGTTTCCTAGTGACTTACACCCGTGCACGCCAGGTTTGGGGAAATACAAACCTTCTGGCCCACCCTAGCAACTGGCACCCAAGCACATAGACCTCATGACCTGTGATGCCTGCTCTGGTTGCTGATGCCAAGAGGCACTCACTCTGCTTCTCTCATCTCAGTTCTCCCCTGTAGCTGGTACCTGTAAGCATGTGACTGAGAAGCCCATGGTCCCACTTCAGTGGCTGAAGTAGAGCTCCTCATCTACTTCAGTTGCTGGCATCAGGGCTACCTTCACCTACTATTGGACTGCGGTTGCTGGCCTGGAATTCATTCATGCTGATCCCCCCCACTACCTCCAGATGCATGCTTCTAAGACCTGTGGACATGTGCTTCTAGGAGCTGCAGTTCCCCTTCCAGCTGCTGATGCCGAGACTCTCTTCTCCAGCTGCTGGTATCCCAGACTGCTTGTCTGACTCCAGTTGCTGGCCTGTAGCCCTTAAAGCACACGGGCACATGGAGTTGAGGGTGAGATTGCATAGACAGAGATTTAAGATTTAATAAGAAAATAGGATATGCTGCAATGGGTAGGTGCAGGGCTTGGTCATACAAGCCTAGTGACTGGCAACTGTTCATGCATCTGTCCCTTCGATACGCTTTTCTATCCGTTGCCCCACTTTTGTTCCAGTTACAATTCTCCTGAACATTTCTCCATCCCTGGAAGTGTTCAAGGCCAGGTTGGACAGGGCTTTGAGCAGCCTGGTCCAGTGGAAGATGTCCCTCCCCGTGGCAGGCGAGTTCAAACTAAATGATCTTTAAGGTGCTTTCAAATCCAAACCATGCAATAATTCCTTGATAAGCATTGCATAGTCTCACAGGCCTCCCTTGAGTATCCACAATCCTTGTGTTCCTCTTGTTCTCACTTACTAGCAGTTACAACATCCAAACTGGCCCTCAATAGAGCTATGCCTGGAGCTTCTTAACCAGCCCATCAATTAGCAATGAGACTTCTGCTCGTTGTCATTGTCTCTGTTATCCCATGTGTTGTGGTTTGAGGCCTGGAATGGGGGCGTGACCTTCCAGCAACTGGGAGGACCCCGGGTGGGGGTGAAACCATTGTATTCCCTCCCCTTCCCACACACACTCTGATAAGAGGCAGGGAGTGGTTTCTTGTTTCACTCCTGCCTTGGAGCTCAGAGAGGAAAGTTCTTCTTTCACTCCATGGGACCCTGGAACCATTCCTGAGGGTTTTGTATATTTTATTTTTTGTATTATTCCCCTAATCTTTATATATATTATTTTCCTTACCTCCCTTTTTCGTTTTCTGTTCCTTGTTGAACAATATACTACTTTTTTTTTTTTTCAAAAGTGTCTCTCTCTCGGGGGGGGAGAGGCGAGTACATAGTTCTGTTCCGTGTGGGTCCTGCCCTGAACCCCTTTTTACACGGAACTAGGACACCGTGTCAATTAGGTTTATGGCTCTATTTGTTCATTATTTCACATTTTACATATTCCCCCTATTTCACTGCTTGTTCCTCTCGGTTTACTTATTCCCTCTGCACTGAAAGGTCTTTGATTGGTTAACCTTAATGAACCAGATTTTCCTCTCTCTCTCTTTTTCCACACCAATATTTAAATTTGATCAGTACCACTGAACTTTCTCTACAGTAGGTATTTATGAAATTAAATGTTTGTGTTTTGTTTTTTTTAATTGCAAATAGGTACATGGCACCTGAAGTTCTAGATGATTCCATAAATATGAAACATTTTGAGTCATTCAAACGAGCAGACATCTATGCAATGGGATTAGTGTTTTGGGAAATAGCTCGGCGATGTTCCATCGGCGGTATGTGACAATCTTTCCAAAATTGGATGTACTAAGGGATTATAAGTAGCTTACAGAACCTGAATGTTTCAGTGAACAGTTTGCTCTAAAAATGGTGCAAGGTAATGGCCAGTATGTCTCAGAATTTCTGACTGTTAATCCTGTAAATGATTACTGGTTTATTCAATGTCTTTGTAAACTGATGAACAATAGCTTTTGAAGAGAATAGAAAAGATCCTTGTCTATTTTTTTTTTTCTAAAACCTTTACAGCGAGGCAAGAAGGGTGAAGTTAAATGTCCCTAGAGCATGGGGTAAACCCCACAAGTAAGGGTTAGCTATAATGTGTTCAGATAACATCCTTACCTTATTTAAAATAAAACATGCTTTTATAAATCATATGCTTCCAAGAAGCATGTCTTTAGTATATGATAGATTTGACATAGCTTCTTTTCCAAACGTGTAAATTTCTAAATTAAAAATTCTTGAAGGGTAATGTGGACACTTTTATTTTTCAGCCATTGTGATGTAATTTTTTAAAATTAAAACCAAAAAAGAAAATGGTAGAGTACTGATAAGGAGCAAAGTGAAGAATATGTAATTTAGTGTTGGCTAAAATAAAGCTGTTTTCAACCCGTTACAGGCATCCATGAAGATTACCAGTTACCATACTATGACCTCGTTCCTTCAGACCCTTCTGTTGAAGAAATGAGGAAAGTTGTGTGTGAGCAGAAGTTAAGGCCCAATATTCCAAACAGATGGCAGAGCTGTGAGGTATTAACTAACATGGCTAGAGCTGCTTTAGTGGACACTAGAACTGTTACTGATTTCAATGACTTAAAAGTTGTGCTTGTTGTTGAAGGGGAAAGGGTTGATTCTAGGAGAACTTAATTTCATTCAGGGAACTGGCTGTATTGAAATGTCATTGATCTTTAGTTATATTAATATTTCATGTAATTTCACAAGAATGAATAGCTAACTGCGTTGAGGATTCTAGGCTCCCTTCCTGTGAAGCATGGGTGACACTAAGGTAAATCAAAGCTAGTCTGGAGTCTGTTAGACAGGAGACACTGCTGCAAGTAAATTGTGCAGCTGGGGGCGGTGCCGCAGCTGGCAGGGATTGAGTTGACTTTCTTCACAGTGGTCTGTATGGTTCTCTGTCTTGGGTCTGTGACCAGAACAGTTTGATAGCACGCCAGTGTTTTAGCTGCTGCTGGTCAGTGCTTACACAGCCTCAAGGCTTTCTCTGTGTCTTACTCAGCCCTTGCCACCACAGCGTGGCCGTGCCCCTGTTGAAGTGTTTGTGCTGGCAGTAGCATGCACAGCAGCCATCTCATGCCTTTCAGCCACCTCTCTCAGTATTGCTTGCTTTAGGAACCCAGCTAGGGCTAGAACCAATGCTTTCTGATTCATGGCTCAGGAGAATGGCTGTGATAGGCTACAGTAAGAGTTAAGAGACTGATAAGATGATGATGTACTTCAGATGGAAGAGGGAACTGGATTGTGACTTGCAAAGTGAATGCATGGATGAAGGCCTGAGATAAGAGATAGGGCAAGAGAATGCAAGAAGGAGAGAAAGACAATGATATGCCCTGACAGAGTGTAAAGTCATTTTTTAAAATGCTGCCAAACCGATTCTGCAAGCTTGGCAGCCTAATATAACACAGCTCTGAATGTAAAATTTTAAAACGTAGAGCTATTACTTTAGCTCATCTTTAGTTTTTATGTTACTTGCACTGCTACTTGTAGCATTGAGAGATTACAAGTGGCTGTTTGAAGGATAAAAAGTGTCCAAAAGTTTTTGGAGTTAGTGCAGAGCATCAGTTCGAGGAAGACAGCTTTATAAGCTTCTGAACTGCTGTACATGGAACTGACTCCTTAATTGGAGATACAGTGAAAAAGTGTACTTTTGTCTAATGCAAAAATTGAGAAAACAGTTACAGGCAAGCCACTAACTTTTCATTAAAATATGTTTGCATGGGCTTAAATTCTTCCCCAAAAATACTAGTTCTTCTCTACAGTATTTTAAAGAACCTTCTTTTTCTGTAAGCAAAGTAAGAATTTGAGGGTTTTCTACAACACACTCTTCCATGCAGGTGTGTTACTAGTAATAGACTTGAGGGCAGAAGAGGGGTTACCACGGGGCACACTGGAGCAGCAGTGTCTGTCACAGCTTCTCTCTCCCTCGCAGGCGTTACGGGTGATGGCGAAGATCATGCGGGAGTGCTGGTACGCCAACGGCGCCGCCAGGCTCACCGCGCTGCGCATCAAGAAAACGCTCTCCCAGCTCAGTCAGCAGGAGGGGATAAAGATGTAGTCCTGGATTTGCTACTGAAGAATACTGTAAAAATCCATACCTGCACCAGAGTGGCTTGTTAAGAAGGTTAATTGTTCTACCTCACTGGGGGAACAGAAGGATATTGCTGCCTTTTAGTACTTCATAGGAACATCACTCAGTAGGATTTTTGTGGATGTGCTAAACAGTTGTGTTGGGTCCTTTCTGTGCACTATAAACCTCTTTCCCAGGTTACTTATAAAACATTGTGTAGTTTAGTTTTATTAATCTCTTAATTTCTTATTTGGAAAGTTGATAGCTGGTCTTAACTTCTAGTTAACTGTGCTAAAAATAGGAGGTCACTTTTTAGATGGAACTGGTTCACTATATTGTTCTACAGTGCATTGATGTCTCTTAAAGCAACTTTATTCCTGGCTGTTACATTGACTGTTCTGAACCACTGTCACAGTTCTTTGGTTCAGATTGGGAATGTACTGTTGGAATATACTTTGCTAACTATTAAGGTAGCATGGACTCCTACCATGATTTATAAATTGACCTCATTCAGTTGTAATAACGTAATTTATGCAACTGTACTTTATAAATACTGGGTTTTTTTCCACTTTCTCAGAACATGACATTGCCTTCAAAATAGATTGTATTATACCAGTAAGTGCCGCTTTTGAGTCTTTTAATGCAAAGCTGTAGGAGCATGCAAAGTCTATGGTACTTTTGGTTTCAAAAATACAAGTTAAAAATCAACTGTTCCTTTGCCTTGCTAAGATCTAATTTACACGCATTTCAGCGAGTACTTAATTTGTGGAATACCTTTAATTTTACCAAAAATCTGACTCTCTAAACCACTGTAGGAGTTTTAAATAATGTAAGCTAGTTAATTCACTGTCATATGTTGTAATTGTCACGTCATGATATATAAGATTTTTTTTTTTATAGTGGTACTTCTAAAATGCTTGAAGTACCTATCTACTTCACAAAAGTAGCAAAATGAGTAAGATGTTCTTAAGGGAGATTTTTCTCCATTAAATCAAAGATGAAAAGCATATTTTTCTGTGCAGTTCTGCAGAGTCTTAAGGCTCAAAGAACAGTATTTGCAATTAAACAAGGATTAAGTGCACCTGTAATTAGGGAGAGGTTATTTGAGCTTTTGTACCAGAAAGTTCAAAGCTGCTTATAAATGTTATGTGCATATATTTTGTGTGTGCCTCAAACACAAGGTGGTGAGCTGCAGGTCTTTGGATACAAACACAAGAGGATTCCAGCAGTCCTCTTCATAGTTAAAAGAACAAAGCTTGTGGTGGCTTGTGTTGTCATAAGAACACAGAATATGCATGGCTTTAGTCAAGATTTTGCCTGAGGTTTTCAGGGCATCACAAGATGGTCAGAAACTTGTTTAGAAATTGAATTGCTTCCTGCCCAAATGGGACTGGGGGAATTAACATGGAAAATTGTCTTTGAAAAACTGCTGTTGTCAGGATTTTTTTTAATTACCGTTTTAGGAAGAGTCTGGTTGGCCTTTGGTTTCATTAACACCCAGAACACTCAGTAGCATTTCAGTATATAAATGTGCCTGGTAATTAATTGTCACCTAACCTCCTGCTCTCCAGACCACATCATTATCTATCCTGCAGTGCAGCACACAGAGCAATCTTAACTCTGCTTCGTTTTCATTCTTCAGCATACAGCCCACTGAGTGTTTTTCACAAAGCTAGTGGCAGTAGTGAGGTGGTTGCTAACAGAAGTCTAGGCAAGACCGTTTTCCGTGGTCCTAGTGGTCTTCTTACTACTCCTAGTAAGAGGAGGCTATATGTGATAAAAGACTCAGCCAGGATAATAAGTATTAGTACTTTAACTCCTGCATATTTACAAATTCTTGGTGCTTGCTTAAAACCATAGGTTTAAATGAGGTGTGAATTGCAGACCTTTGGAGGTTGAACTGCAGATAATGAAATGCTTTATTCGGCCACCTTTATAGATGCGTTTACTCATACTGGAAGATGGCATCCAAGAGAAAAGAAAAAAAAAAGCAGTTCTTAGAAAACAATTGGGTTTAAATATATGTACAGCTGTCGTGCTTATGTTTGTTTGGCATTATGTGACCAGTCAGATTTATGTGCTTCAGGCTTCAGTCAATCAAAGCTGGATCAAAAGTGACTTCATGTAGGTATTTTAAATAAGCTCTGCCTTTGTGCAAATGGACAGCTGTGCACCACAGTTTCTCAATTATGGCTGTTCTAAAGAAATGTTTGAATAGAACTAAACTCCCAAGTCTGTCTACTTGGCATGCCTCTCTAGCAAATTCTATGTATGTAGATAAATACTTAAAGAAAATGTCAGCAACAAAGTAGAATTTACTATATCTGTATACTAATTTCAGAGGCTTACTATTTAAACAATTTGTTAACTTTGTTGAATTTTGAGTTTTTCATAGGTGCAACTGGATTTTTACCATAGATACAAATGACGCAGTGCATACTTCAGAATCACCAGGCTACTGGCTTCAGATCTTTATAGTAATCTTGATGGTAACATGAAGGAGCTTCAGATAGAATTAATCAAATAATTTTTATTACTACCTTTTTTAATTGCCTACCAAACCGTATCAATACATTTCGTTTCCTAAAATATAAGGAGCTTTTAAAAGACTATCTACAGCAACTGAACAGCATTGTGGCATGCAGATTATTCAGTCAGCTGCAAACACCGTGGTTTTTTACATCTTTCTCATCTCAGCCACCTGAATTGCTAGCAGCTATTCTTACATCATTCTGATTTTTTTACTTTGTCATAGAAACTCACGAAGCCAAAGCACAGGAAGGATGCTTGATGTAGTGTGTGACATTAGGAATGTTATTTTGAGACAACTTTATTGTTCATATTGAAAGGCAGAACAGGAAAATTCTGAACAGAGCCATGTATACTCTCAGTTCTGATACCACAACTTCAAGCTTTGTTCTTCTTTTCCATTATATAAACTGAACACCTTTTACAAAGGCTGTGTCTGTATATATTATGTACCTTTAAGTGTTACCTGTGTAAGATCATATCTTATATATATGGACACAGGTACACATAAGTATTTTTTAAATTAAGATTGTAATATCACCAGATCTGCTCTTGGAAATCCAGGGGGACCAAAATATTTTAGCATTCAAAATATTAATTTTGTATCATTTCAAGTATATACCAAAACAGTTCCTGACGAATACTGATGCAAATGTTTATTGTAAATATTACATACATTATACATTCACTTAAGTTTTGTGGATTTAATCAGTTTGACATTTTAGTAGCATTGAAGCCTCAGTTTGGTTTACAGACTTGTGACCAGGTGGATATAGACATGGAGAATAAGCATTGGAAATGGTCTGATGCTGAAACGCCCAAAATGTTTATTAAATGCTGGAATTCTTCAGGGACCTTCCAACCTAAAAAGCTGGAATTCTGGGATGTTTCTTGAGTTGACTTTACAAGTATGGCACACTGTCACCCTAAAACGGTTCCACTTATAATCCTAAGACTTTGTATGCAGATAAAGACATTGGGATTAACCGTATGGGGATATGAAGGTGTCAGATGAAATAAGAGGCTGTTTTATTTTTTTTCTGTAATGGTTCTGTGTGTGCTGCCATGAAATTCACCTTTTAGTTAGTTCTTTGTTTCTATTGTGCCATTGAAACCATTGCAAGATGTTAATCATTTTGTGTTTTAAAAACAAAAAAAAAACCTTAACCATATCAGTTGCTTTAAACTCAAATTACCTCTTAAAAGACCAAGGTACATTTACCTCATGTGTATATAATGTTTAATATTTTTCAGAACATTCTCCAGGTTTGCAGTTACATGTTTCTAGAAGTATGGGTATTACTACATTTACAACTTCAGCGGTACTAAATGTATTATCTGGTGCCCCAAAACACTTTAATTTTCTGTATTTCAATATATTAGTTTGCTGCTTTGTCACTGTAGCACCTGCCCTTACAGTGTGGACACTACCTTGTAAATTACTTTTTTTGGGATGATTTGAGGATCCTGTACAGATGTCACTTTTTTTAAACCTTACAAAATCATGCGTTTCCCTTATATTTCGGAAAGTATGTATTGTATTTGTAGAGTATACATTTCAACGGATTGTAAATAGGATGGCAGAAAAGTGGATGCTTATGTTAAGTGGTAACACTACAGTAGCGAGATTAAAGTAGTGAAAATAAATAACTTTTTTCAAAATGCATGAGTTGTCTTTCAGAGGAAGAAGTTGTAGGTAGGTGTGGGTTTGGGTGTGATGTACTTACCTGGCAAAATGTGGGTTTACTTTGATTTCCTTTCCTCAGGGGTTTGCTGATGCTGAGGCAATTCATCTCATGTGTGCTGTACAGATAATGACAGAGTGCCTGATCTTCCTTGTGTCCTACAGCAGTGTTTGAATAAGTACCTTGCTGGTGACTCTGATCTCTTGGACAAAATAACTAATGATAAAGTGTTCCTTCTCTCCATCTGTATTTACATAGAAGTCACAGAGCTGCTGATGATTTCAGACTACTTAAACAACTGACCTCACATCTCTACTGCACCTCTGTGCATCACAAAACAGCAACTAAAGTCAGCTTGTGTTTGAGTTGATTGTTTCTGTCAAATTCAGTTTCAGACTGGTGTTACATTTTTAAAAGAAGGTGAAAATGCAGACGCAACAAAAAATAAGACGTTGCCCTTCCATAATGTTACGTACGTCCATTAATTTTGGCTCAGAAAGAACCAGACAGAATTACCAAAGAAGCACTTCTTCCAGCAAACTTTCTCCAAAATGGGTGACCGTGAGAAACCCAAAAGCTGTGTCAAAATGCTGTGTTCCTGTTGAAACATTTTCACAGGAGGTATTATTTGGCTGAGAACCATGCCTCTCTCCCACAATTGGCTAAAAGAAGGATTCTTATCCTTGAATCCCTCTCATACATCTAGCAGAGGAAAAGTATGGCCTAGAAACAGAATAGTAATGTTGCTGTCTGCTGAGCTTAGTTTTTATTAAATAGTCTTCTGTGTTTCATGCTTTGATGCACTGAACCTAACAACTGAAAATCCACAAACAGCAAACAATGACTGCAAGTAACCTACATGTGAGGATGTTTTCAGATCATCTTAGAGGAGATGCTGAAATCACGAGTTCTGCAAGCTAATTTGGACTACAAGTCAGTGTAGAGAGTGGCAGACTTTCAAATAGTTGGTTTTGTCTGAAGTAATTTTTTTTTGTGTGTCGGGCTGTTGGAATAGGTTCTTTTTAATACCCACTGCACTGAAGAAATGAATGTTCTATGTAGGTGCAGCATAACTAAAGAGTGTATAGAAAAAGCTGACCTGAGTCCTTGCAGAGAACCTCATTTCCAGTTCTCCAGGTCTGACAGAACCAGGGACTTGGTCTCTTCACTGCGGCGACACTGTCAAACTGCTCCTTTCACTTCTTACAAAGGCTCTTTCTGCTGAGGCTCATGGGATCGCAGTGGTGCTGTGCACATCGTTGCTGGTACTGCAGTTAAGCACTCCCCAGTTCTTAAAACACTTTGAATAGTATTGAACTTGAAGA